CATCTTCCGCTTGACATGCAAGTCGGCCTCCATCTCGGATGCCCCCAACCCTTTAACCTCCCTTTGCTTAAACCCGGACTTCCCTCCGGGTATGCACAAGGCCTTCCTGTCGGAACATTGGCCGTATGACCAGGTGAAAGCCGAACACTTTTTTCATAAAGGCCAATTGAAATCCTACTCCTCTTTGGCGAGCACCATGAAAGATCGTACCTTCCCCTTTTGGGCCTACCTTCAAATCAGGCATTTTCTCATATCCTCTGCTCACCGCCACAAATGGACTCGTCCTCTCACCCCCTTTGAATCAATTTGTTCTAAGGCTGAACCCCAGCGGCATCTAATCTCATCCATGTACCTCCTTCTCACCGGTGATGGGAATCCTAACTCGCTCCCTGCTTGCCGAGCTTGGAGGAGAGACCTTGATATAGATTTTTCTTCCTCAGATTGGGACCAAATTTTTACATACTCCCACAAATGTTCGCTGAATGTATCGACCCAAGAAAACGGATACAAGCTAGCTTCCCGTTGGTACATTACCCCTTCCAGAACTCATCGTTTTAACCCTTCTCTACCTAATAATTGTTGGAGATGTGGAGCACCTGATGGGTCCCTTCTCCATATCTGGTGGTCCTGTCCTATCGTCCTGCCCTTCTGGCGGGAAGTCCACCGTATAACCTCGTCAGTGTCCACTTTACCTCTCGATTTCTCCCCGGCCCAATTTCTCCTCCACCATACACCGCTCCCCAAACGTCTATACTTCCGATCGTTAGCAATGCATATGATTAATGCTGCTAGACTTTGTCTTCCTGTGCTTTGGAGATCTACTCAACCCCCCTCAATGAAAGATTGGTTCACTCGTCTGGGAAGAATTGCAGAGATGGAGGAGCTGATTGCTTCCTCCCAAGATAACCCGACTAAATTCTCCCATACTTGGTCGTGTTGGATCCACTTCCAAACGACCCCCGAATACCAATCCCTCATGGGTCTTTCTACCTGACTCTGAGCCAGACCTGTGGCTTTATATTACACTCTGTATTGTACTGACTCCTCGACCCTTGCTAGGCTGTCGATGACACTTTTCTATTATATCCTTTTCACTGATCAGGTAGTGAGACACTCCTTTTCCCTGGTGCCCGATTGTCTGCTTTATGTCTCTATCCCCTAGGGGACGAGCACACCAGCTCTGTCCTTGGAGCTTCCACCTATATGACATGTCTATCCATACCGCCCCCCCCTTAGTCTCCTTCCCCTTTGACCCTTCCCCCCCTTCCCCCCCCTTTTTTTTTTTTTTTTTTCTTTGGCTTTCCAGCTTCTCACCATTTTTTGTTTTTTCTTTCCTCCCGACTCCTTCCTCGTTGTGCCCTGTACCTGCCATTACTGTCTTTGCTGTTTTTCACATCTTCTCCACTTAATTTTTTCCCTTTTTCTTTTTCCTCTACACTTATGTTTATTCCACTGTCCATAGGCAACCTAATCTCACACCCGGATTACACTTGCACATGTGCCTCTCCCATTCCATGGAGTAATTTTCATATGCGTTGGCTACCTTTGAGTGGTACCTTTGCTGCTCCTCCTGGATAACACCGAGCTTTCTATATTTTCGCTACTTCCTTGCACCAGAAGCCCAGCACCTTTAGCTTTATCCCCTTCCCCCCTACTCTGCTACTCGACGATAAAAGATATCTGGGGGTGCAAATAAATGATCCTGCTCATTTGGTGATATTTTGTATGCTATGTGGTGATTATGATTGGTGTTTGCCTTTTTTTTTTTTTTTGCTGTGTTCTCGTGTTTTTTTTTTTTCCAAGTTCAACTTCATTATTGTTACAGGTGACACGAGAGGGCTTTATTATTTTGTTCGCCTGCATATTTCTTATTGTTTGGCATGTGCGATTTGTGTTTTACCGCATTTCTCTTTGGCACATTGTATTACATTGTACAATTTATACCATTTATATGTTTTGACTTTTTCTCAATAAACTTTGTGGAACAAAAAAAAAAAAATCATCAATAATCAGTTCATTAATACAACATGTTAAGATCTTTCCATCTTGTTACTAAGGCATTTCTTTAATTATATATTGTCTCTTTATTTTCAATATGTTTAATAAAGAACTCACCATAATATGGATGGTGCACTGCAAGTAAATGCAATCTGCACAAATACATTTCTCTAGTAAAGTATTTAACTTTTTTATTTTTTATTGCCAACAATACACATTTTATAACTGTAAATAGAATTGAGAATTATTTAATTTCTACTATAGCCAAAATACTTTATGCATATACCGCAAAGTAAATATATGGTGAATGGTACATCCCAGTAAGTTATCGTTATGTTACAGAATTAACTACTATCCTGTGATTAGGAGTAACAGTGTAGATCTAGGTGTACAGGTTAAGCTCTTTCTAGCGTACTGTATACAGTATTTAATGTATTTTCTGTCAGATTTCTATTTACACAAGATAGTGCTGAGAATATAAATACAATGGTGTAGCGCTAATACATGAAAATTACTATAACCACATATAATAATATGATATTAATAGCAAAAAACATATACTGTGACACATATATAGTGATCTGATCCTCTCTGGGATCTTGAAGTGACAGGAAAAACCTGAAAAACCTGAAAAACACGCGTTGCGTCCTGAATATCACGTGACGTGACTGAACGCATACTACTGAAGTGGTAGTATATTTTACTATACAATTATTTTTATTTCATTTTTGGTATATTTTTATGTGTTACCAATTGGGGGAGATTGTTGTATGGTTTTCATATATTTGTTTTAATATTTGGAGTTTTTTTTGTGAAGTTCTCACTAAGCATGAGTAACTTTATATAGGAGTTATATCCCCCTTTGCAGGGATTCACTTTCATGTGTCACTTGTTTGGTTTGATTTTTTAGGCTGATTTTTAGCCACTGATCCCAATTAGGGATTTGGGTTGTCTGTTTGTTACTGTGTGTGTGTTCACTAAATTGGGTCCAATTAGGACCACGTGTTTTTCCCGTTTTTCCTGTCATTTCAAGATCCCAGTGGGCTGAATGAAAAAAAAAAAACCTGACAGATTACTGTACTAACACAAGCGGTGTTAGTACATTAATCTCCCCCACTGTTTTTCTGTTCTGGCAGAGGGACTGCCCCCCCACACCAGAACACTCCGGTCAGTGCTTTCTGCTATTGGCTAAGAGCGCTGATCGGAAGCCAAGTGGCAGACCTTTTTTTGGTCATGCCTCTTTCACAGAAGCCAGATGAACTTCCGGATTCTGTCAGACCAGGCACACGGGCCAAATGTTGGTTGGTTTCTGTTGAACTGGTGAATACCCCTTGATACACAGCCCATGTGTACTTAGGTTTAGACTTTTTTCTAAACGCAAAGGAAAAAATAAATTTATCCTGAGTGGACTTGCTTTGTACAATTTGATTAAATTACTGTATATCCTATTTCTCACCAATATTTCTAATTACTTTTGATTACCCTTTGTAAGTTAAAATAGTGTACACAATTGTTCTTTTATTACTTTAGGCATGGTATGGAAGTTGTTAAATGCACTAGAAAATAGATAATTAATAACCAAGTTTCACAAAAAATAGTCTTGCATAAAGGTTTGCTTTGAAGAATATGATACCCTAACATTTCATATTCCTGATATGTCTGTTGTACGTAATTGTGTTAAAAAGTATCCTGTTCTCTTTGTATTGCTTCTTTTGTGTGAAATACCTGGTGATCCTGCCAGTCCCCCTGCTCACCTATCTCAGACTGACTACTCTGTCATGACAGCACATCCATCTCAGTATGCTCAATTTTCTGGCTGTGCTGGGGGAACAACCTGTGTGTTCTCCAATAATCCGCGTAGTGCTATCACAACCCCCTGCACAGCCCTTAGCAGGGAAGATCAGTGTCCTGCTGTTTCTCCACCCCTCGCTCTCTAAACCTCTTATGCAGTTGAGAACAGAGATTATGTGATTTTATATTATATAGATTTTTACTGAATATATGTGTGTGTGTGTGTGTGTGTGTGTGTATATATATATATATATATATATATATATATATATATATATGCACAAATGTTTTGCCTTTCATTTCTATGTTAAACTGAATGTTAAAAAAATTAACAAACACCCCTGCTAAAACCAAGAGATGGTAGTAGGCGATCAGATTGAATCATGTTAATTAATTAGGTAAAAGAGCTTTATCTATATATGAGACAAAGATCATCAGGAAGACATAAAACTGTGTGCCTATAAACATAGAAGTAAATTCCTGGCGGTTACAAAACTATATATAGTAAGTCTGTCACTGGATAACTGTCTGGGCTGGAGCAAGGCTGCCTTCTCTGGAGGGTCGAGAACCCAAGTACTGAAACAGAAGAAGGGAGGGAAAAGAGAGGCGCCAAGCCACCAATAATGGAGTACAGTTTATTAAAACCAACAAGAATATACAGTGAAATTACGGATTCTGCCCTTCTTCTACTTCTAGTTTAATGTAGACAATGATACTTTGATCATTTATTGATGCTATTATTTATATTGCACAAGAAGCACAATTCACAAGACTACATGAATATTATTATTATTATTATTATTTATTCATAATAATAACGCAAATAAAACAAATCAGAGCTAAAACCAAAATGCTCAGATTTATTTTTAAAACCACCTGTAAAAGAACCGTAGATTTTTTTATGGTCAGATTGGATTAATCAAACCATTTTGATAGATATTATTAGAGCAAGAAATAAAGAAAATAAAAATAAAAATCAATGGTCTGTGATCAATATTTTGGTGTTAACACTTCAACTGTGGGTGGTGGTGGATAAATCACCTATAGCTATAGCATGTTTATGGAAATTCCCTGCCCTAAGCTCAGCTTAATTTTCTGTTTACTCAATGTCACTACTGTATATTATACCATGTGCTTATATACTAAATGATATTTATGTTTGCTTTTGGTTAAGAAAATGACAACTCTGTTTTTCTCCTTTTCTTTCACAGGGGACTATGTAGTTATGACTGTGTACTTTGACCTGGCCAGAAGAATGGGCTATTTTACTATACAAACCTACATACCTTGCACTCTTATTGTTGTTTTATCCTGGGTATCATTTTGGATTAACAAGGATGCTGTTCCAGCTAGGACATCTTTGGGTAAGTTATAAAAAAGATCCCAGAAGAAATGAGCAAAGTTGTGTGAACTGCAATTCAACTCATTTTTAGATTTTATTTAATATCAGCAAATGTTTAATGGTTTAGTGACATTACCCCCATCTGCCCTCCTTTATACCTTCATACAGGTAAGTTGTGGCACTCAACAAACTTTATATCCCTCCACCATCAAGACACTCACTTTTCTGCATGACTGACTATAACTTTCAGTAACCACTTCAGAACTGTAAGCAATATGGCATCCTCCAGATACAAGGAAATCTGTTCTATCTCTAATAACTACGTCTGTAACCTGGCACTCACAAGTCTCCATATGATGAAGCTCCAACAGAGTATCACTCTGACACAATCTGGAAATCCTTATAATCACCACAGAAAGACAAAATATGGATACAAGGAAAGTTCTTTGCAAGTGCATTATTATACTTTTTCATTGCCTATTATATATAAACCCATTTTAACTGTATAACATTCATGATTTATAAATTTGTTTATGTCAAATTCAACATGAACCCCTTGATGCCAATGTCACACAAAATATCCGACCTCACGGAACTGGGCTTTTTTCCATGGAGTCGCATATTTACGTACCAGTCTTTGTGCTGGGAGTGCGCAGCTTGGCGCACTCCCAGCATAGAGACCGTGGTGTCACTGAGTGCCCCGGGTCCCGTTCTAATGATCAGGACCCCCGATTCCGGGTCACATGATCGCTGTGATAGCCTCTGATTGGCTATCACAGTGATCAGTCACTGTACAGCCCAGCCCCCTTGCTTTTTTCTCTTTCTATGAATGGAGAAGAGAGATACATTGTATCTCTCTAACTCCTGGCATAGAGAGAAAAATACCTAGATCAAGGTTTGATCTAGTTCAGTGCCAGAGTTAGTGTTTGGGTCAAGGTCAGGGTCAAAGGTCAAGGTCAAAGGTCAGGTATTTTAAAAAATTGGTGTCAGTTAATGTTAATGTCAGTGTGTTTTAGGTAAAAAAAAAAAAAAAAAAAAGCAAAAACAAAATGTGAACTATTGTTTCTGGGCTGTACTACAGGTACAAATAACATACACATATATGGTATTGCCGAGATCGTAAAGAGCTGGAAAATTTATTTTGGGTTGTTCTTTGGTGGTAGATTATGGTGGTAACAAGAAACACACAGCTAAATAAAAAAAATGATTTTTTTTTTTTTTACTATTTTGGGCCAGTTTTCCTTTGATAATAAATCAATCAGGAGCTATCTATTACCATTTACCACCAAATGAAAGCCCAATTTGTCCTGAAAAAATCAAGGTATAATCCACCTGGATGTACAAAGTAGTTGTGGTGATATGTATATATGGTTTTACTATCACATGTCAACATTGCAGAATTGTGCTTAGGCATTTAGATTTGTTTTACCCTTAGGCATGAAGGGGTTAAGGCTCTTCTGGACCTGAGTATTTAATAAACAACATGGAAAGGATCCTTTCATAGGAAGTCATAATCGATTTTTCAATTTATTATATTTATGTATTACAGGTACTTATATTGCGCCATCAATTTATGCAGCGCTTTACACACATATATTTATATATATTACATTCACATCAGTCTCTAACCCTCAAAGGGTGTACAATATAAGGTCCCTAACTTACATTCATACACATACATGCAAACTCCAGGCAGGTGGTGCTGTGGTTGGGATTTGAACCAATGACCCTAGTACTGCCAGGCGGGAAGTGCTAACCATTTAGCCACTTATTGGAGCAATAATATCTCTCAAGGGTAGGGCTGTGCAAAAATCTACCTTAGGCTTGACTAGCAATTGAGCAAATATCTAATTTATGTTTAACCATGTGCCCTCCTGAGGATTTACCCCCCTTCCTGACCAGGCCATTTTTTGCGTTACTTTAACTGACAATTGTGCGGTCATGCAATGCTGCACCCAAATTAAATTTATGTCATTTTTTTTCTCTTGAATTGAGCTTTCTTTTGGTGGTATTTGATCGCCCATACATTTTTTATTTTTTGCGCTATAAAAAGAAAAGTCCATCAATTTTGAGAATAAAACAATATTTTTGACTTCTTGCTATTAAACATGTCCAGTAAAAAAAAAAAAAACTTAAAAATCTAATTTCGTCATAAATTTAGGCCAGACATGTCTTAGCTTAAAAAAAAATCCTAATAAGTGTAAATTTATTGGTTTACGTGAAAGTTATAGCGTTTACAAATGGAATTTTTTATTTTTACTAGTATTGGCGGCAATCAGCGAATTATAGTGGGACTGCGGGACTGTGGCGGGCATTCTGACACTGAGGGGAACTGACTTGGTGTCACTGACATCCCCAGTGACACCAATACAGTGATCAGTGCTAAAAGAAAGCACTAACACTGTACTAATGGCACTGGGCAGGAAGGGGTTAACATCTGGGGCAATCAAAGGGTTAACTGTGTGCTGTGTCTGTGTGCTTCACTGTAAGCACACTGCTTTGGATGGTTGTGATGTGCACAGCCATCCAAAGCAGTGTGCATTAGCTCTGTCTCTCTGATCCATGTAAATACCCTGGATGATGTCACGTGGGCGTAGCGTAACACGTAAGGAAGGATTTTGCGAGCGATAGTGCTGGATGCCGGTTGCCTGGGAAGTGAATGCTGAGGCATACTTATGTACAATATCTTCTGCGTGCGTTGTCACTGACTTAATGTGAGTGTGTGCAGTATATTTTAATAAAGCACTTGATTTTATTCATACTTCACTATGGTCAGCAATTTCTGATTTGGAGCATCTAGATCTGTGGCCACTATCTGTTTCCACGATCGGAAAGGCGTGTATGTGTAGCAGTCAAAGTTGATAGTGGGCTGATCCTTATCCCTACTAGATCTGTGTGGGCATATGATGTGGTCTGTGGCTGGTTATTTACCTGGATCAGAGAGACAAATCTGTGGAGCAGTCTAGGCTGGAGGTTTGCTGTTTCTGAGCGATGTGAGACCTGTCAGGTCTTACTATGAGGTGAGAGACCATCCATGAGCACAGTGGTGATTTGCATAAAGATTCACTATGTTTAAATAATTAAATGCATGTGGAGCTTTATTTCACTTATTCAATGTGAAAACACGTTTATGGATTTCATTACATTTAAGATACTTTTATCACAGATTTTTTCTTGTATCACGGACTTTCTTCACTTGGTTTTTTGTTTTTTATTTATGTTCTCTTGTTATTCATACCTATATATTGGATGTATGACTTCTAGATAGACTACTCTGGGTTTGAGGTAAAATGCCACAAATTTGAGATTCACAACCCCCGCAGATTTTGTACACATTCACCCTACTTTTTTAACCAATGCATGACCAACAGGCTTAGCTGGGACAAATACTGAGGTTTTTGAATAAACCTGTTCCCTGACTTTAAAAATAGGGGAGGGAGGCACAGAGCAGTTATAATATCTGTATATTGGAAGCTGCTATAGTGAAATCAGAGAAACTGCATATGGAAAGATTGGAATTAGTTAGGAAATACTTTTACTCTGATTGCTAGTTCTTTGGTCAATCAACCCCTTTGCTGACTTTTTTTTATCTCTTGGTTGATTTTAGGTCACGTTTACCTGCTATCCTGTCAAATCAGCAAAGTTTCCCTAAAAAATGCATTTGTTTTAATGGGGTGGTACTTTAGGATTTTCATGTATTTTGGGAGTATATTTTTTATTTTATTTTATAGAACCTTTATTTTACATTAAACTGCAGCAAGGATTCACTTGTGAATTTATTTCAGGGGTATTATTTGGGGTGTTCATTTATTTTTGGATAATATTGGGTTCTATTTTATTTATTTTTTGTTATTACAGGTACAGTTGCAAGAAAAAGTATGTGAACCCCTTGGGATTACGTGGAGTTTTGCATGAATTGGGCATAAAATGTGCTCTGAACGTCATCTATGTCACAACAATAGAAGAACACAGTCTGCTGAACATAATACTACACAAACATTAGATGTTGCCATGGTTTAATTGCACATAACATGTAAACAGTGCAGGGAGGAAAAAGTATGTGAGGCCCTAGCTTAATGACTTCTCCCAGAGCTAATTAGAGCCAGGAGTGAGCCAACCTTGACTCCAATCAGTGTGATGATATTGGATGTGTTACTGACAGCTGTCCTGCCCTTAAAAAAAACACACACCTGTTTTGGGTTTACTGGTTTCAAGAAGCACTGTCTGATGTGAACCATGCCTCGCAGAAAAGAGCTCTCAGAAGACCTACGATCAATAAGTGTTAACTTGCATGAAGCTGGAAAAGGTTACAAAAGTATCTCCAAAAGCCTTGATGCTCATGTGTCCACGGTAAGACAGACTGTCTACAAATGGAGAAAGTTTAGGACTGTTGCTACTCTCCCTAGGCGTGGTCGTCCTGTAAAAATGACTGCAAGAGCACAGCGCAGAATGCTGCATGAGGTAAAGAAGAATCCCAGAGTGTCAGCTAAAGACCTACAGAAATCTCTGGCACATGCTAACATTTTTGTTGACACATCTACAATAAGGAAAACATTAAACAAGAATGGAGTACATGGGAGGACACCACGGTGGAAGCCATTGCTGTCCAAAAAGAATATTGCAGCACGTTTGAAGTTTGCAAAAGAGCACCTGGATGTTCCACAGCCCTACTGGCAAAATATACTGTGGACAGATGAAACCAAGATTGAGTTGTTTGGGAAGAACACACAACACTATGTGTGGAGAAAAAAAGGCACCGCACACCAACATCAAAACCTCATCTCCACTGTAAAACATGGTGGAGGGAGAGTCATAGTTTGGGGCTGCTTTGCTGCCTCAGAGCCTGGATGGATTGTTGTCATTGATGGGAAAATGAATTCCAGAGTTTATCAAGACATTTTGCAGGAAAACGTATGACCATCTGTCCGCCAACTGAAGCTCCGCAGAGGATGGGTGATGCAACAGGACAATGACCCAAAGCATACAAGTAATTCAACAAAACAATGGCTGCAAGAGCACAGAATATGCCTCCTGGAGTGGCCCAGTCAGAGTCCTGACCTCAACCCGATTGAAATGCTGTGGCATGACCTTAAGAGAGTGATTCACACCAGACATCCCAAGAATATTGCTACACTGAAACAGTTTTGTGAAGAGGAGTGGTCCAAAATGTTCTTCTATTGTTGTGACTTAGATGACGTTCAGAGCACATTTTATGCCCAATTCATGCAAAACTCCACGTAATCCCAAGGAGTTCACATACTTTTTCTTGCAACTGTACTTTTATAATGCTATCAATGTATCCAGTGCCGTACATATATATTATACATTCACATCATTCCCTGTCCTCAAGGAGCTTACAATCTAAGATCCCTAACTCACATTCCTACATAAACATACTAGGGTCAATTCAGACAGGAACCAATTTACCTACCACCATGTCTTTGAAGTGTGGAAAGAAATCAGAGTACCTGAAGGAAACCCATGGAGGCATAGAGAGAACATGCAAATGCTGTGCAGGTAGTACTGTGGTTGGGATTCAAACTGATGACTTTAGTGCTGCCAGGCAGAAGTTATAATTACTTATAGGTACTTTATTTTAGGTCAAAATACTTTTTTGTAACAAGGTTTCCCTTGCTTCCCTTACCACCAGGGGTGGTATTTTGTGGTTTCCAATTCATTTTAGTTTTTGGGTGCTCCAAGTGCAGCATTCACTTGTTATGATCTATTCTTGGATCTGCCCTTTGCTCACAGCATGCTGTTGCATCATTTAAAGGCATTGTATGCTTTCAAAAGTTTTTTTGTTTTAACTAGGTAATGTTGTAGCTATACCTCCATGTTTGTTTGCTTTACCTTGAACTCACATGTTGTGGATGTCCCTAAGGACAGACAACGTCATGCTCTGAGTTACACAGCAAAGTGTGCAAAGAAAATATCCCTCACACCATTACAGCACCAGCCTGAACCGTTGATACAAGGCAGGATGGATCTATGCTTTCATGTTGTTTACGCCAAATTCTGACCCTACTATCTGAATGTCACAGCTGAAATCAAGACCAGGCAACATTTTTCCTACCTTCTGTTGTCCAATTTTGGTGAGCCTATGTGAATTGCAGCCTCTGTTTCCTGTTCTTCGCTGACAGGAGTGGCACCCGATGTGGTCTTCTGCTGTTGTAGTCCATCTGCTTAAAGGTTCGACATGCTGTGCATTCAGAGATGGTATTCTGCATACCTTGGCTGTAACGAGTGGTTATTTGAGTTTCTGTTGCCTTTCTATCATCTTATCTGACCATTCTCCTCTGACCTCTAACATCAACACAGAATTTTTATCCACACAACTGCTGCTCACTGGATATTTTCTCTTTTTGGACCATTCTCTGAAAACCCTAGAGATGGTTGTGCGTGGAAATCCCAGTAGAACAGCAGTGGGGTCCAGACTTCAGGCAGTCATTGCCAGTAAAGGATTCTCAACAAAATATTAAAAATGAACATTTTATTTATGATTATATTCTATTGTCCAATTACTTTTGGTCCCTTGAAAAAAGGGGGGGGGTGGCTACTCTTAAGAGCTGTAATTCCTAAACCCTTCCTCCAATTTGGATGTACATACCCTCAAATTAAACCTGAGAGTCTGCACTTTCAGCCCATATCCATTATATAACTATAGATTAAATATGTTTTGGTAAATACCTGAAAAAACTAAAATTGTGCCTGTGTCCAAATATATATGGACCTAACTGTATACGAATAACTAACTATATCTTGCCCCCACAAAAATGTACAGGGATAAGGATTATCCAAAGGTTCTAATATCATAGTGATTGAACCATATTAATGTGCCTGCTAGCCAATGGGAAGAATCTGTGAGCACATATCACTCCAAACAGACTCCTATAAAAGGTATAACACAGTAATATGGAATAGTCTTAATACTGTGGGGTTTATTTACTAAAGCTGGTGAGTGCAAAATTAGGCTCACTTCTGCACAGAAACCAATCAGCTTCCAGGTTTTATTGTGAAAGATTAGTTGAACAAGCTGAGGCTAGAAGCTGATTGGTTTCAATGCAGAGGGGAGACTGGTATTGCAGCTTCAGTAAAAAGAAAAACTCTGTGTCCTAATGGTAGGGTATCCTACAAGGCCTGATTCTACACATCCTCATATTTTATTTTGTACAAAAACATTGGATACTATATTCTGTTTATGTACACTTAAATTCATTTTAGTGTATTGTGAAAATACAGATTTGATAAACAGTTGCAAAATGTTGTTCAACATAGAAAATTGCAACTACCATCTATTTATTCTACCTCTGTGTTCAGAAAATATAAAATGTTTATGGGATTTAGTTAATTTTGTTATAATTTTTTTTATATTGTACTTTTAATGTTGCTGTTTAAGCTACATTAAGAGACTCTCTCCCCCTGTGAATGGCATTAATTTATGTTTGCATTGGTACATGTTCCCTGTGACAATGTCCAGCGAACACATGCCCTTTTTAACTAAGGCTTGCAAACTGGTCTCTGACAGGGCTAGAAAAATACCATGATTTCCCTCTCTCATAGGTTTCAATGGGGTTTGATTCTATATTTGGGTTTAGTGGATTTTTCATGGGTTTGATGAACTTCTGAACTTTGCCTGGTTTGCTCAGCTCTAGTAGGGAAAACTGAAGTATAAACAGTGTTCTGTAGTAGCTACAATGTGATTTTGGGTAGTAATGTCTCAGGATTTTCACTGTACCCTTGGTTAATGCTAAGTCCATTTATTCATTGTATCCAGCCACCGCTTGCGATTTATAGCACTTTGATAAAAACTTTGAAACAGAACAGTGTTTTTCTGTAACAATAATAATAAAGCAAGCACTGACAATAATTAGGTAAGGCAAGGAAAGAGTTTTATGCCTGACTCATTGTCCAGGCACTTGTAGGGAAAACATCATGCAAAATAAAGTGAAGGAGGATGAGGAAGTTCATCATTTACTGGATTCTGAAGAGTATGAAGTAATGATGTAAGGTGAGGAAAAGAGTTTTGTGCCTGACTCACTGTCCAGGCACTTGTAGGCAAAATAAAGTCAAGGAGGATATTGAAAGTCATATTTCTGAGGAGTAGCAAATGATGTCACTGACATTTGTGTATTAAAACACCTGAAACTACGCACATGTCCATTTGCTCATTGTGCAAATACAGCACTAATGTTTACCTAACAGGCACTTTTTATTGGAATTGTCTAGAATTTAACCTTTTCACTCCAGCACCCTAGCTATGTTGTTGCTCTTGGTTGGTTGCTGCTATTCCATGATGCTTGAAGGGAGGATGATCTGTGATCTGGATGCCACAAATCCTTTCTGAAAAGATACCCTATAAACAATATGGAGAGTCCCAACAATGAAATGGCTCTCCCCAGAAGCTGCTACTAAACAAATTTCAATAACTTGATCAATTACACTGTGGAGAAAGATGTCCCAAACAATTAAAATCAAAATATGGAAGGGTTGGAATAAGTAATCTCCTATTTTGTGCATCAGTCTGGAAGACATAAGGGAATCCTGCTGGTGATACTTATTTGTAGGAAATTGAAGACATTTTTACCCTATTTGGTTTAATTTTTTAACTCCTTAAATAAGGGGATACCCTGGGAATCCATACCTGGGAAACACGATTAACAATACAATTTGCACGTAATACTAAAACACCTTTATAATGATGGATATAATATACAAATTATTAGAGTTACTACATTTATGTTATTGGTTGTCTTTAAAGGATACATTGTTACATCTTTGCTTGTACACACTTGCCTGGTGCTGCTAGAGCCCCTCTCCCTGTGGGGGGAGGTTCCTCTCCATCCATTCACACTCAGATTTAGAAAACAGAGCAGTTGTGCAGGTCTCTGCCCACACAGTCACATCATTAATTCACAGGAATCTAAGAATGAAAAAACTACAAGTCCCATCTGCCACCATGGCAGGATTGTAGCTCTCAATGGACTGCAAGGGCATTGAGGATTGCCCTCATTGTCCATTCATACAGCTCTGTAACTGAAAGCTTGCACAGGAGGAGGTACAGGCAACAGAGCAGCATCTACTGTTCATGGATGCAATGCTTTGCAGGCTCCTGTAAAAAAAAAATAATAAATGCAGTTTTTCTACTGCAAACATATGTGCACATGATATTTTTTACAAAGGTGAACTAAGCCTTTAAGCTGTCATTTTTTTATATAATATAGTCCACAAGAAATTTAAACAATATGTGATGCCTAATTTTTCATTGCATGATTCCTTAGATTTGCTTGTATTGATGTTACTTTCTAAATTGTCACTAATTAAAGAAAGGTAAAAGTAATTAGCTCATGCAAGCTCATGCAAGCATATGATCATCAAAATCTCCAAACTTCCTCTTCAGTTTATCGATATCAAACATGTTTTAGTTCATTAATATTTTTAAAGACTGCTCAAAACCATATTTTAAGGTAACCTGTGCCCAGGCTTTACACAATAAGGTATTTACATATACTAAAAAAGCATAAAAGGGGTCTTAAAACAAGACATCACTCACCTTTATAGCTTCAGGTGGAGAAATAAATCCTGAAAATGTATAGCAAAGACACTGAAAATACAGCTCTTTTTCCATTACTCAGCACAGAAAAGTAGCAGCCTCCCAATCTTTTATGTAAACAAAAAGGTTTTCTTTGTTGCTGGGAGAAAAAACAACCAAGCCCCAACTTCATAGTCTGTTGCCACATTTGAGAATAAATTACTTCAACATGCATGCAGTTATAGAGATCAGTGATGGCTTACTTTAAAGCTCCTTTATGTCTTCTTACAAATATCTACAAATTGTTCTTAATTTAAATAAAAAATACCAATTGCTTGGGTACAGATGCATTTTAAATAAATGGTGTGCTATACTAAAAACCTTTACTTTAACTATTTTGTTCTTTAAATGAATTGATAATCCTAAAATATGCTTAAAATGTTTGGAATACAATAGTATAATGTGGGAGCGACATAGACCTGTGCATCCTAATTGTAGTTATGTAATTTTATGTGATTTTAAAGGTTTGATATCTGAATAGGTTTTTATGTACTTTTAAATTATTTTATGACATTTTACTTTTCTTCTTCTACCGTTCTAATTAAATTTACACTGTTACAATGTGTCTGATGAGCCTCATTTATGACAGAATAAACTGGCAGTAAAATGTTTGTGTTATTGAAACATAGGGTTTCACAGGATGTCTATCATGTGTGCTGAAATGGAAGATAAGGGTTACAGAGACCCTGATGTCCTTCTCAGCTGACACCAAATGGGGTATGAAGCTGTAAATGCTCGGGACTAAGCATCCTGGGTTCATTCAGAGCAAAAAAAAAGACTGGTGTACATAAAACTCTAGTTCAGGGGTGGCGAACAAGTTAGACACAAAGAGCCAAAATTTTAAACTGTGAAAGTCAGAGAGCCACACCACGCAGTGACCTGCCAAAACAGACAAACACTCACACAAAAAAACATAATTAAAACCATATTATTCACCATAACACTTTCTTCCCCTTACAAAACACAGGGATGACCAGAGACTGCGGACAGCACAGGGATGACCAGAGACTGCGGACAGCACAGGGATGACCAGAGACTGCGGACAGCACAGGGATGACCAGAGACTGCGGACAGCACAGGGATGACCAGAGACTGCGGACAGCACAGGGATGACCAGAGACTGCGGACAGTACAGATGACTGCTGACCTTTGGGGAGGTTGGGAGCGGGTACCTGAATTTGACAGGTACCCGCTCTTACTTCCGCAGAGTTTTTGTTTGATCTTACCTGTTCCTCGATCCAGCCGCGCTCTGTCTTCCTGGCTTCTGTAATGGCGCTCGGCATGACAGCCGGGTGCCCAGTGCGCATGAGCGAGAAGCACTTGCGCTTTGTGATTGGTCCGGCGGCTTCTGGGATCTGTCATGTGTCCCAGGTACCACCTTACCATTCACAAAAAGCACCGCTTCTTGCGCATGCGCACTTGGCACCCGGCTGTCATGCCCAGTGCCCACACTACAGAAGCCGGAAGACAGCGCGCCGCTGGATAGAGGAACAGGTAAGATCAAAGAAGTAAGAGCAAAGAGCCGCATTCATTTTGGCCGGGAGCCGCATGCGGCTCGAGAGCCGCGTGTTCGCCACCCCTGCTCTAGTTCAATTAACTCCTCACTCACCATACTAAGGTAGGATACAGGGAAATATAATAGACAACAGCAGAGGAGAACATAAGCATGAAGGAACTGGACCTGGCACAGGAGATGAGATTTTTAGCTTACAGAACTGATTATGTGTAACCACTCAAAGCATTTTTTCAAAATGTCCACAAAGGCCACAGAGAAACAGCAATGACACATGGAATATACCTTTCTCAGTCAAAATGTTGTTGCTCATTATACCCTACGTTACCTGCATACATATGCATGAGTCCACTCTCAAGGGAGGTTGAAGGTATTTGTATCCAGCCAACTTCAAGATATGTCAACTTGCATGTGTGCATCAAGCTTAGAGTCTAAAAGAGATTGGCTCATTATACTTTGTTGAATAGCATTTTATGAGTAAACTACTGTTAACTCAGTCTGCTTGCATATCCAATGGACAAAAAAAGTAGACAGGCTCTATAAATAGTCTAACACCAGTACTAGAAACATTCTTGTTTTCTTAAAATGATGGGATTTTGGCCCAGAAAAAAAAGTACATCATAGATAAGTAAATAAATTCACATGCAGTGCAACTGCTATATCTAAAATATGTTAATTTGTGTTTCTCCATCCATGCACAGATGAATAAAAATATAGGCCCAGGTCTAATACTAAAGCATAAATGCTTTCTATTTTATTCAGCTATTGTTCTCATGTAAAAAAAGTATCTTACAAACCACAGTGACTGTGTTTTTAAGTGTTTTTAAATGGCATCTCCTTTTTTCAAACAGGTATTACAACTGTGCTCACAATGACCACTTTGAGTACTATTGCCAGGAAATCTCTTCCAAAAGTATCCTATGTGACAGCAATGGACCTTTTTGTCTCAGTGTGCTTCATCTTTGTATTCTCTGCTTTGGTTGAATATGGCACCCTCCATTATTTTGTTAGTAATAGGAAGCCAAGCAAGGACAAAGAGAAAAAGAAGAAAAATCCAGTAAGTAATTTTTTGGAGAATTTGTATTAATATAAATATTATTATGATTTACATCCACATTATACAATCCTACATAGATTATTTTTATATAAAGAAAAATTGTGCATTAACTCTGTGAATATGATTGTGCCTTTATAGGTTCCTAGCAAGAAGAACATTGAAAAATGTTCTGATGAGTTTAAAATTACCCTTTATTCTAAATAAAGTTTGCATAGTTTGGAAATGCTCATACCATATTCATTTCAAAACAAGATCATGCCATTGCAGTGTTTTTTGAAAGGGTAGCTACTGAAAATTATTACAAAGATGTTTTTTTTTAGTTATTCTATTAACTGAACTTATAGTACAATTGATTTGTATTCAATTAATTTTTAACTTTCAGTTACTTGTGTAAGCTTCCAAATATTTCCAAACATAAAATGCAAAGTCAACCATTGTGGAGTTGGTGATACTAATATAGTATACTAACATGGTTAAACTGTTTTGAACAAAGATTATGTTTTGATTTTAACATTTTTTTATAATATTATTAAGTGCATTTTATGTCATACATTCCTGGTTTTAAATTAAATATGTTTTGTAATTTTCAAATATTTACAGTTACAAATAAATATAATATTTTACTAGCAGTATTACTAATGAAAATTATTGCAACACACTGCTCTGACAGTTTTACATTTTTAGTTACATAATTATTCTGGTTGAAAAAAGACAAATGTCCATCTAGTTCAAACAATAAAAAGGAAAAAAAAATGTATACAATCTTATATACACACAATCCTATACCCACAGTTGATCCAGAGGAAGGCAAAGAAAAAACCCAGCAAAGCATGATCCAATTTAAATAAATCCTAACTGATCCCCCAAGAGGCAATCGGATATTCCCTGGATCAACTTTACCTATAAATGTTAGTATCCAGTTACATTTAGGAAATAATCCAGGCCGTTGAGCTGGTGAGAACCATCTTTTGAGGGAGTCTATTCCACACTTTCACAGCTCTTGCTGTGAAGAAACCTTTCTGTATTTGTAGATGAAATCTTTTTTCCTCCAGACATAAATAGTGCCCCCTTGTCCTCTGTGATGACCTTAAATTGAATAATTCTACACCAAGTTCACTATATGGACCACTTAATGTATCATATTTCCCCTTATGTCCTCTCCTCAAGAGATATTATATTATATTATAATATTCAGTTCCCCTAATCTTTCCTCATTGATGGGTTCCTCCAGGCCTCTCATCAGTTTGGTTGCCCTTCTCTGCACTTTTTCCCGATATTCTTTTTGTGAATTAGTGCCCAAAAACTGAACTGCATATTCCAGATGAGGTATTAGTAATGATTTGGGCAGGGTTAAAATTATATCTTTCTCTCTGGAGTCTATACCTCTTGTAATACAAGTCAGGATTTTGCTTGCTTTGGAAACTGCAGTTTGGCATTGCATGCCATTATTAAGTTTATAATCTATCAGACCACACAGATACTTCTCCGTTGATTCCCCTAGTTGTACCCCCCCTAGTATGTATGACACATGCATATTCTTAGCCCCCAAGTGCATAACCTTTCATTTATCAACATTAAACCTCATTTGCCACATAGTTGCCCAATTAAACAGTGCATTGAGGTTGACTTGTAAGTTGGAGACATCCTGTAAGGATGTTATTCCACTACATAGCTTGGTGTCATCTTCAAAGACTGAAATGGTACTTTTAATCCCAGACCCTATATTGTTTTTAAATATATTAAAAAGTAAGGGTCCCAACACTAAATCTTGGGGTTCACCACTAACAATCCTAAACCATTCAGAGTATGAATCATTAACCACTACTCTCTGAATATGGTCTTTTAGCAAGTTTTCAATCCATTTACAAACTGGGTTTTCCAATACTGTAGACTTTACTTTACACATTAGTCATGTGTGGGGAACTGTGTCAAACACTTTTGCAAAATCCAATTATACTATGTCCACAGCCACTCCTTTCTCTGAGGTTTTGCTTACCTCCTCATAAAAAGATATCAGATTTGTTTGACAACTTCTGTCACTTATAAATCCATGCTGCCTGTTGCTTAAAATATTTTTTTTTCAGCAAGAACTCAGTTATGTGGTCTTTAACCCCTTCACACCGACACCTCCTGGCCCCTTAAGGGCTTTCTGATACCAGGAGGCAGGGTGGGGTTTATGGTCATGTGACCACCATCATTGGCTGTCACAGCAGTCACATAATCGGAAAGGTCCCGATCGCAAGGAGAGATCGGAACCTTTCTGTGGGGCACCGACACATGTGTTGGGAGCATGCAGGGTGTGCGCTCTCAGCACGTTTGTTTACAAATGGTATGCAAATATGCGGCCGCTCGGCGTCAAGGCCCAGCTGCCAAGAGGCTGCATATTTGTGTAACGTCAGCATGAAGAGGTTGATTAAACTCTCCAGTATCTTCCCAACTATAGAAATTAAACTAACAGGTCTAAAGTTAATTGGTAAAGACTTGACAGAGCTCAATTCTTTTAGGACCCCGTGGGTGTATGCCATCTGGTCCAAGTGCTTTATTCACCTTTATTTTGTCTAAATATTTCTAGACCATGTAAATTTTGAGCCATTGTGGATCATTTGGGGCTGTGTCAATACATCCCCATTGTAGACATAATCTCCCCCCATGCTTCTTTGTATACACAGTATTTCTTAATTTTTATATTTTTAAAAGCTCTTTTATTATTTATAGCTTTTTTATATTTGGCTGTGAACCACGTAGGTTTTATTTTTAGCCTTTAGACTTATTGCCAATGGAAATATATTTTGCAGTGTGTTCACATACAGTGGTTTTGAAGAATTCCCATTTCTGTTCTGTGTTCATCAATGCCAATATTCCCTCCCAGTCTAAGTCTTGGAGAGCAGTCCACATCCTTGGAAAATTTGCTCTCTTAAATCTGAGTGTTTTTATCTTTTCAGTATGTGCTTGTTATTTACAACTAACATTAAATGGAATCATGTTATGATCACTGCTACCGAGATGTTCTTTTATATGTTCATTAGTAATAAGATCTGCATGGTTTAAGATTACCAGGTCCAGCAGAGCATCATTTCTAGTTGGGGCCTCTGTGAACTGTACCATAAAATTGTCTTGTCATAAGTTTATAAATGATTGCATTTAAATGCTCCTGCAGTGCCATTACTCCAGTCAGTTTCTGGGTAGTTAAAATACCCCATTATTATCACGGTCCCAGCCCTTACAGCCCTTTATATCTATGCAAGGAGCTCAGTCTCTACCTCCTCATTAACAATGGGTGGCCTATAACAAACTCCAATGATTACCTTTCTAGCACGTACACCCATGTGCAGCCTCATCACACTCTCCATCATCTAGGTTCTCTTTTGCACGTGCGTTGAGATCACCTCTCATATTAGAGATAGAGACACCACCACCTTTCCTTTGTACCCTGTTCCTCCATAAGAGAGCATAGCTGGGAATATTACTAGCCCAGTCATGTGAAGAATGAAGCCAAGATTCAGGAATACCAATGAAATCATAATTCTCTTTGTGCACCAGCTTCCAAGTCACCCATTTTGCTTGGTCATCCTAAAAATTCAGAAAGGAACCTGTTTTAATCCTCCCTGGGTGGTAACCTGAGGCTCAGGTCTTTCTGCTTTCACCCTCCTGTTGGAATTTCTAATGTGTTCTTCTCTTCTCTTAATCCCTCTTTCCTTATGTTACTAAATGGTACTATTAGCCATCATTGGTTACGACATTTATGATGTTTGGTGCTCTATTTGCCTTGCTTGCCTTTTTCTGTAAAATAAGGAAAATACCTTAAATAAACAGTTAGGTAAAAAAGGAACCTATTTTAATATACATGTTTGTAAATCAATGGCTAACATACTTTTAAGGTGATAGTCTTTTCACTGCTATGCTGACCATTCAGCTTCTTTACTTAGTGAGCCACTGAAAATATGAAGCTTTTGAAGTCAACAAAACTAAGTTTATAAAATTAAATAAACATACAGTAGTGCAGCGCATAAAAGTGAACATATACAGGCAGAATGAATGTCACAGGTAATTCTCTACAGTAAATAAAATATAGCATATGGATATACTATATCGTATGAATAATAGTCCTGTTGGATAAATTAAATGATATGGGAGTGCAGGGGTGGACTGACAACTCATGGGGCCCCCGGGCAAAAGGGGACCATGGGGCCCCTGTGTCCTTGCCCAAACTCAAAAAAGCCTATGAAAAAGGTACCAGGGGCATCTCAAGGGGCCCCCTACTGACCCTGGGCCCTCGGGCAGTGCCCAAGTTTCCAAATGGTCAGTCCGCCCCTGTGGGAGTGTCTCTTCAAATGCTAAGATTCCGGTGAATAATTTATATAAAATCTGGAAGTGGATGATCAACCCCTACAACTATTGGACTGGTCAGTAACATTGCCAGCACAGGCTATTTGAATCTGACATAGTGCAGATTTATTTTATCCTTCCTGCATTTGATTACACCTTATTACATGTGTGTACTATTTTATATATCCACAATTTTTTCAATACATAAATTACACTACACTATGAGACCCCCCCCCCTTTTTTTCTGGCTCTACTATGAGCACTTAACCCCCAGGACCCAGGCTCCATCCGACTCGGAGGATGGACTATATCCCTTATGACCAGACCCATTCACAGACCCTGGAAAGGGACCTCTGATTGACATCTTCCATAACACCCATGCTATCAGAGGTGGATAAGCCTAGACCAGACCAGGTTCCATTTGATGGGAGTCCCCCAGACCGGATTATATCATTCAATGCGCATTACATTAGCGCTTCTGTTGATTTTTCAATCCCACTAATCTTTCGCACACCACTGGATGTTTTGTATTTCCTGGCTTTCTATTTCCTGGTTGATCATCCACTTCCAGATTTTATATATAAATTATTCACTGGAATCCTACCATTTGAAGAGGCACTCCCATATCATTTAATTTATCCAACAGGACTATTATTCATACGATATAGTATATCCATATGCTATATTTTATTTACTGCAGAGAATTACCTGTGACACTCATTCTGCCTGTATATGTTCAATTTTATGCGTTGCACTACTGTATGTTTTTTTTATTTCTTGGAGAGGACTTTAAATTCCTTTTTTGTGCATTTGCTGCTACCCAAGTTAGTGCTCGCTGATATCATAAGTTTGTAAAATTGCTCCAAGTCATTGTATAGCCCAATCATATGCATGTAATCAGGGACCATCATTAAGAGCATTGCAGAATGATACTGAGTATATTTATTTTATGATGGGTTCTGTTTAAATGTTAGGCTTTTACATATAAGGGTTAAGGGAATATTTACTATAACCAAGAAAAAAATATTTTATCAAAAAAGGAAAAATAAATTACTTAAGTAATGGCGTAATAGTAAATCTACAGGATACTCATAAGTCTCAGTAGAAAAGATTATTGAAGATATTTATATCCATGAAGTGAGGGCTATTTTTTATTACAAATAATCCAGCAATAGAAAAATCTTTTTATGCCTCACTCTTGTTTTAGTGACAGTGACTGAGAGGCTTTTAAAAACTCTTCTGTCCCAAGTCAGTAGCCATACCACTTATATTTTTCAATACCTAATTCATTAATATATGTTTATCTCTAGAATCATCTTTTTAGGACCCTAGAATATGTTTTAGCATCTTGTTTTTTTTGTTTCACAAATGTATGACAGAGGTATTGAGGCAATATAAATAGCATTATTTCAAAGAAAGTGTTATTTTTTTGGTATTTTCATTGATGTTGTATTATGTGGTTATAGAAGATGCAGACACTGCTTAGTGAAGTTGACCTGGGGGCATTATGAAACCAAATTAAATCTTGGGACTCGAAACTTTGCAAAAAATATTATTAAACTAGATAGTTAAAGTACTTTAATTACTAAGCATTTTGAACCTATAAATCCTGGTTATTTAGAAACACCTTTTAATCTTATTTGTATTTTAGTTACATTGTTTTATCAGTTAAGCAATGTGTTTTAATAATGCTTCAAGGTTTTTTTATTTTAATTTTTCTTTCATTATTTTACTCCTAAATCCTGATTTTCCTTTCTTATCTGTACAACTAAAGCTTCTCTGGATGTTTTCATTCAAGGTATAATGTTTCTGGAATGGAAATTCACTGCATGTGTCTGCTGAATTAAACTATAAAAGCCTAATTTATGATTGACTTTAATTTTAATTTTTTACGCAAATGCAGTATGGCAAGAATGTTTTTGTAGATTGAAAAAAAATAAGGTTAAAAGTTGATTCAGCAGTGTTTACACAATTCACAGTTGAGAAACAATGTTATTTAATGGTACTTTTCATCTTTTATTGGCTATAAGACACAAACAGTATCATCCCATTTCACTGCTCCACATAAGTATGCCTTTATAAGAATGATGCAAAACTTTAAGCCTTTGTTTCTGTCATTTGTTGAATTTTTGCCACAAGTTGAATATTAGTCTTATAACTATTCGTATTTGTGGCATTATTGCAGATGATGGCTATTTATCACTAGAGCTGCAGTACACCTTGTACATTACCCTCATTTTCTCTAATGTCTTCATAACCCATATGGGCGAATTCTGAGAACCAGAGAAGAATAATAACATTATTCATAATTTTTGCAAGTTTTTTTTTAAATAATCAACTTAATAAACATTTTGTAAAAATTAAACGTATTTATTCTAATATACTCTGGATGTAATAGTATAAAATTCAAAGCCAAACTTTTTTCTGCTTTGCCAGCATTTTTAAATTAGTTGTAACAAAATATGAAAAAAATGTATTCGCCCATATTTTGCCAGTATCACTGTGTAGAGTTGGAGAAATAGCATTTTTTATTTTGTAAATGTATGCAATGAAATAAATTGTGATTTTCTTTTTAATTTATGCCTGCTTTGCAAGTCAAGCTTAATAAGAGATAATCTTTTGTTTTTTTATTATGTATGTATACACAAACTGTTGGCACGTTTACTCACTTATTCATGTATTGCAGGTTGTATCAATTATACTATTTCTTTTAAGCAGAAAAACATTTCTCTTACCAGTTGTATAGCTATTGGCTAAGCATTCAACATTCTCACTAGAGTCTTTGTTGATGGATATTATCCTCCTCCAACTAACTGTGTACTCACCAAGTAAAAAGTTCTGAATAGAGTTGCAAAGGGATTAAAACCGATTAATTTTTTATTGAGTCTGTGCTCCTGTAAGGGAAATTCACCCTCTCTATTTGTTCTGTTTACCTTTATTATTGAGAGTGAAAGTAAAAGGAAATGCCAACTTTTGGGTTTCCCCCCAGAAAAGTAATAGATAGGAAATCTTCCAATGTGGACACTAGGGACCTGGGGTACCCCAATATATTACATTGTTTTGCAGGGATTTCCTCTCACTTCCTGTTTTGGCTATGTAACATGAAATGAAAGTTTATCTTCACAATGAGACACAGATGATGAAACAAATCTTACAGGGGTTATAACCCTCCCTTACTCATCTACAGTGAAAACATATTGTGCCTATAGTTCTACTTTAGGGATACTGTCACATGATGAAGCACAGGGAATACATGAAAAAGGTGCTGTTGCTTCCATGAGCAACTCTAGCATCTCACACATTGGGGCTGATTTACTGTATATGTGTTTATATTCACTCCAATTATCCAATCATGTAAAAAGCATCTACACATGACACACAGAAGTTTGCTTTTCAGGTAATTAGAGTGAATATTCAAACACTGTATATCAGCCTCATTCAATCAGTAACCTCAGCTAGGTGAGTTCATACCCAGTAAATGTAAAAGAGGAGTCAACATGGGCCCTGTCTCAGCTGTGTCTGCTTCAATCCCTATTCTTATGCCACTGTTTTTTAACATTTGATTATTAACCCTCTGCATATATCATTGATAGACTTACCCTGATTTACTTAGGAGGGAATATTACTGCCAATCACATTGAGCAATGTTTGGTTTTCCTTGTTGGTAAGATGATGCTCATTTACTTGGGCATTCCTGTGCATGGGTGAACATGGCTATGGTTAGTGAACAATCTCTAGGATATATTTAAGCAAATTGCAATGTATCCTGGGTAATTTCCAGTACAATAAATCTATTTGTGTGTTTAAATGTGAATATTTTGAATATAATTGAACAATCTCAAATACATGTAAAAAAATTATGGGGTTTATTTACTAAAGTTGGTTTACCCACAACATTGTGCACCTGTTAAGCATGGGAGCCAATCAGCTTCTAAGCTCAGCTTGTTTAAGCTTTAACAATAAAACTTGGAAGCTGACTGGTTTCTATGCAGAAAGGCACAGGATTCCTTTTTTTATATATATATTAAAATGTTTTTGATATATTTAAATTTTTAATTTCACTATTTGGTACAGTACATGTTTCAACATCTTGGTGAACATTCCACATAACATGATGGGACAGGAACAAACTGTATAAACACAAAATACAAGCATCAGTAACAAACATTTCATTGAAAACAGCATCTCACAGCAGCTCACACAAAGCAGTGGGTAGTTACATAAAGTGTAAGTGTGGCCAAAAGTCAAATATCAGGAAGCAGACATTGTTCAGATGCCGTACCGCCCCTCCAGAGCATTGGCCCAGGTCCATGCAGGTTTGGGCCCCTAGAGTGATTTTTAATGCGAAAAATAGTCAGAAGATAGAAACATTGGGGAAGACGGAGTGGAAGAAAGACAGAAAGAGAAAAAAAAGAAGGGGGGGGGGAAGGGAAGGGAAAGGAAAGGAGGGTAGAAGGAAAAAGGGTTGTAGGAGGGGTGAGGATGAAGTCCTGGCGATAGCAAGTCGGGAACAGCCTAGTCAGCCTTCACTGGGCCTGAATCTATGTAGCCTCTGAAGACAGAAGCAGAGCAAGGTCTTGTGTGCATTGGAAGTCGTGCCAATAAAACCATGTTTTGCTGAACAGTTCCTCCTTTATTTTATGGCTGCTGTCAGGCGTCCTGTTTTGTTAATCTCGTTCACTACTGCTATCTATTGGCCAATAATTGTGGGGGGGGGGGGCAGTTTGTGTATTCCACTGATATGGAAACACTCTGGTTTTGTTTAGTAAGTGGATTATTAGGGACTTCTTGTACCTACATCTGGATAAAGGGATAAGGTTCAGGAGTAAAACTTTGGGGCCCATGTCTAAAGAAAAATCAATAAGTTTGTGGAGGGGGGGTAAGGTATATGCCTAAATATTTTAGTCTCTTCTGGGCCCAAGAGAAAGGGAAATTAATGAGGAGTCAGTTTAGATCTTCCAGAGTCAGGCTGATATTTAAAGCCTCCGATTTGTGTACATTTATTTTGTAGTTTGATAACGCTGCATATGTTTGCAGCTCCTGAAGGAGGTTGGGGATGGTTATGTCTGAACATGTAATAATGAAGAGAAGGTTGTCAGCATAAACAGCTACCGTATGCTGTAGGTCTCCAGCCTGTAGGCCCCTGATGTCAGAGTAGAGGCTCTAAGAATCAGAACAAAGATCAGGGGTGACAGGAGGCACTCCTGCCTAGTTGTTCAAAGAGAATTGCAAAAGACAAGGCTTCATTAGCTTTTACTCTCGCAGTTGGATGTAAATAGATTGCATTCACCCATTTGCACATATGTTCTCCTAGACCAATATGTCCCAAAGTGCATCTGAAAGAGAGCCAGTTGATCCAATTGAAGGCCTTCTCTGCATCTGCTGACAGCAGTAAGGGGATGTCTCTAGATCAGGCCAAGTGAATCAGGTTAAGGGCTCTGATGGTATTGTCCCTCGTCTCCCTGTTCAGAATAAAGCCCACTTGGTTATTATGGATCAGGGTGGACAAGTATGACATAAGCCTATTGGCTAGGATCTTCATGAAGATCTTAAGGTCTCATGGGATCCTTCATATCCTCCCTATCTGCCGCGGACAGTTGAAGTAGGCCCGATTGTTGAAGATAGGCATCTATAGGCATAGACTGAGTTTCGGAGTTGGTTGGGGCACGATTAATAGGTAAGTTGTAAGTTGTATCTTTTAATAGTCTCGGAAGCAGTTTGCGATGTCTTGAGATTTATGCAGTTTATCACCCTGAGGGGATCTCACCATAGGGATGTAAGATTTGTGTTTGGTATCCCAAAGAGTCCGGTCCAATAGCCTCCCAGGTTTACCTCCAAATTCGTTATAATGTCTCCGGGAGTACACCAATTTAGTTTTAGCCTTTGTGAGAAGTAGAGAGTTTAGGTTGTCTCTTAAGATTTTAAGGTTCGCTGCCATGGTGAAAGCTAGGGAACATTTATGGGATTGTTCCAGGACCCTAATATCTTCCAGGAGGGTGTCAATGTCTTTTTGACCCTTAACCCTAGCCCTCAGCTTTATAAAGGAGCCCCATAAGATGCATTTGTGCACCTCCCACACAACCCATAGGGAGAGCTTTTGGGTCTCATTAGTGGTAAAATAATCTTGAATGTACCTCTCTAGGCCAGGGTCAGTGTGACTGATGCATGGTCAGAAATCATCTGGAGACCTATCTCTCCCACTATCAGCATGGAAAGACCAGATTGGCATATGAAAAAGTAATCTAAGCATGAGTAAAAGTTATGCAAAGTGGAGTAAAAAGTGTAGTCCCGTGAGTGGGGTTGCAGGAGATGCCATACAGTACATCCACCAAGGTTTCCCTAGTGAGAGCCTTTTTTATTCTCCGAAGAGCCATGTAAGACAAGTGGGAGGACCCTCTAGACACATCTAACAGTGGTTCCAGGGCCACGTCCAGGTCCCCCACACAATCCAAAACTCCCTCGCCGAAAGCCAACAATTTCTCAAGATTAGATTCAAGGAAGCTCATCTGATCCAGATTAGGTGCATACATATTTGCCAGAGTTACCAAGTGACCATAACTAGTGCCCTTAATCAAGACGTATCTACATTCGTCACCTCTCAGAATATTGGTGCAACTCCAAGGCACTGTCTTGGATATCAGAATACTGACCAGCATGACTTGGAGTCTGGAGAACAGCTGTCATATGTAAGAGGATATCAAGCATTCCAAAACTTGGGCAACTTAGACTCCTTAAAGTGAGTCTCCTGAAAAAAGGCCACATTGGCACGAGCTCACCAAAGCTCACTCAACATTTGGG